AGTCTGAAGAAAAAAATTGACATAATTATAGTTTTATGCAAATTTATGTCCTATGGTGTGCTGGGAAACTATTGCAAGTTTTCTACCAGTATGTGGCATTATTTGTTCTCACTATTTTCCATGATAGTGTTACGATGGTAGTGATATTGCAGCTAATTGCTGCCACTGCCGCTGCTGCCACTGCCGCTGCGGCTGCTACTACTACTGCTACGGTTTGTGGTGGTGCTGCTGCCGCTGCTGCTGCTACTGGTTGTGGTGGTGGTGGCGTTGCTGCTGCTGCTGCTGCTGCTGCTGCTGCTGCTGCTGCTGGTGGTGGTGCTGCTGCTGCTGCTGGTGGCTGCTGCTGCTGCTGCTGGTGGCTGCCGCTGCTGCTGGTGGTGGCTGCTGCTGCTGCTGCTGCTGCTGCTGGTGTTGCTGCTGCTACTGGTTGTTGTCGTGGTGGTGGCTGCTGATGCTGCTGCTTCTACTGGTTGTGGTGGTGGTGCTGCTGCTGCTGCTGCTGGTGGTGGTGGTGGTGCTGCTGCTGCTACTGGTTGTGGTGGTGATGGTGCTGCTGCTGCTGCTGTCATTGTCTTTAACGTTGATTGTGGATACTGTGTGTGTGTGTTTTGCATGCAGACTACAACTGGATAGTGTTGTTCCTCTGAAAGCACAGACGTTTCGAATCACGTGCCCATCACAAGGTAATCTTCGTAGTTGGTTGTTACAGCAATAAGGATTACGCTGTGCGCTGTGATATGTCACAATGTGTCTATACACTTCTTTATGCGCATGTAAACATACATTGTGTCGACACTGCTGCATACACTGCCTGCATACACTGCCTGCATACACTGCCTGCATACACTGCCTGCATACACTGCCTGCATACACTGCCTGCATACACTGCCTGCATACACTGCCTGCATACACTGCCTGCATACACTGCCTGCATACACTGCCTGCATACACTGCCTGCATACACTGCCTGCATACACTGCCTGCATACACTGCCTGCATACACTGCCTGCATACACTGCCTGCATACACTGCCTGCATACACTGCCTGCATACACTGCCTGCATACACTGCCTGCATACACTGCCTGCATACACTGCCTGCATACACTGCCTGCATACACTGCCTGCATACACTGCCTGCATACACTGCCTGCATACACTGCCTGCATACACTGCCTGCATACACTGCCTGCATACACTGCCTGCATACACTGCCTGCATACACTGCCTGCATACACTGCCTGCATACACTGCCTGCATACACTGCCTGCATACACTGCCTGCATACACTGCCTGCATACACTGCTTGCATACACTGCCTGCATACACTGCCTGCATACACTGCCTGCATACACTGCCTGCATACACTGCCTGCATACACTGCCTGCATACACTGCTTGCATACACTGCCTGCATATAGGTATGTATTACTGCTTGTTACTGTAGGTAGATGGGTCAACCCTCTTCATTGGATCCATGTGCTTCCTTCATGTCCTGCATGTTGTGTGTTCTCTTGTGTTATGTACTCAGACAAAGCTGCTGCCAAGCATGCAACACGGCGTCTGGATTCAGCCAATTTCTTTCACAACCTCTTGGGTATGTCCAGCAATGGCAGCTTTACTGCTAGTTTATCTTGATTTGTGATTCTAAATTGACATCTAAAAAGGAGCAGATTCCAGATGCTTGTAGCTGTATACTACCATCAAAGGTTGGTAGCTTCTCTCTCTCTCTCTCTCTCTCTCTCTCTCTCTCTCTCTCTCTCTCTCTCTCTCTCTCTCTCTCTCTCTCTCTCTCTCTCTCTCTCTCTCTCTCTCTCTCTCTCTCTCTCTCTCTCTCTCTTCCTCTCCCTCTCCCTCCCTTCTGTTTTGAAACTGGTTCATTCACTCAGTTTTTGTACTCTCGGGTGGTGGTATTGCTTTTCATGCAGAGCACATCCTGAAGAAGCGTGAGGATGATACAACTGCTCAGAATATGATTGTCAACGTAGGTATACGATGGACATACCGGGTATACAACATGCAGCCAACTTTTTCTCTGCCCTGTTCATGATTGCTGTAAAAGTCCGTAAATAAGGACGTACTGTACTTACTTTCGAATAAATTTAGTGGTCGCACCCGTACTAACATTCGGGCAGGTACTGATTTCAGGCACGAACTAACTTTCGGACCTGGCTTGTGTGTCGTGGAGAAGTCGTTTTTCATGTAGATGTACATGCTACGTGCTGCATGTGCGAACCGTGCCGGTACTTATTTCGAGGAGGATATTCATTGGGCTGTACCTGACTTCAATGGACAGAGTCAAAAGGATGCAGGGGGTACTTATTTAGGGCAGATACTTATTTACGGACTTTGACAGTATTTCTCTTGGTGCCGCTGGCTTATGGCTTAGAGCAGGAGATGCTGGCCTTACCGGCTAATGCACCCGTAGTGCCCGTACTATAGTGCCTTTCAAAAGTATAGACCGACTTTTTCGATTAATTCAATTTTGGTCGGAGTTTTTTGAGAAATTTCTTCGCAATATTGCTCAGGCAGCTCCCGCAAATTTTCTCATATACGTTTCTATGCAATTGGATAACAAACGCCCAATTTCGGAAATTTTATGCACAAAGTGATCACAGATTTTATGTGGTATAGATGTTCGCCCAACGGTTTTTTGAAACCACAGGTCTGGACTTTTGAAACGCACTATAGAGACAGAGGCTGATTTGAACTCTATAGTTTTACACTGGTTTTGTCTTCTATGAACATTCTGTGCCTTTGTCCTGATAAAACTGTCACTTGTGTTGTGAACAACTTGCTCACAGGTGTTCTTTGTCTGTGTTCATTGTCTGTGTTCCGTGTCTGTGTTCTTGTTGTTGTTGCTGCTCTGGGATGTTGTGTTCTTCACTAGTGTTACTGCAGTCTTGTTACGGATGAAGGGTGTCCCCGTGAGAAGATGGAGGCCAGGTAAACAGGACGCATTCAATTAATTTATTGCCTTGGCTATTTAGAAGTATGGTTTGAAGACTCCACATGTAGCTCTCTATTTAGTCTGTTAAATAGCTAGATATTCGGCATGTGTTGACCTCCATTTTACAGCCTACCTTGCCGGTAACTAATTCTCGACTCCTTGTATGTATCCTATGCTTCTTCACCTCTACTCTCTCTCTCTCTCTCTCTCTCTCTCTCTCTTCCTCGCACACAGGCAAATGTACAATGACAACATCAGTACCATTTTCTTTGATCGGGTAAGCTAGTGCCTAATGTCCTGTAGTTGCGAGTTTCATCTCAGAAAGAGGGGGCATGTATTTCGGTATACTTGGCATGATTAGTCCTTTGTTTGGCATTCTCTGCTATGGGTTTCTTGCACATGTTTGGGTGCTATGCGCTCCATTGGTTCTATGTTTTCTATCCATTGTTTATGTTCCATCGGTTCTATGTGTTTTCTCAATGCTATTTTGTGTTGTTTGTGTTGCATGTGCTCTCTATGTGTGATGCTTTGCACGGTGTACTGTGTTGTATGTGCTCTCTATGTGTGATGCTTTGCACGGTGTACTGTGTTGTATGTGCTCTCTATGTGTGATGCTTTGCACGGTGTACTGTGTTGCATGTGCTCTCTATGTGTGATGCTTTGCACGGTGTACTGTGTTGTATGTGCTCTCTATGTGTGATGCTTTGCACGGTGTACTGTGTTGTATGTGCTCTCTATGTGTGATGCTTTGCACGGTGTACTGTGTTGTATGTGCTCTCTATGTGTGATGCTTTGCACGGTGTACTGTGTTGTATGTGCTCTCTATGTGTGATGCTTTGCACGGTGTACTGTGTTGTATGTGCTCTCTATGTGTGACGCTTTGCACGGTGTACTGTGTTGTATGTGCTCTCTATGTGTGATGCTTTGCACGGTGTACTGTGTTGTATGTGCTCTCTATGTGTGATGCTTTGCACGGTGTACTGTGTTGTATGTGCTCTCTATGTGTGATGCTTTGCACGGTGTACTGTGTTGTATGTGCTCTCTATGTGTGATGCTTTGCACAGTGTACTGTGTTGTATGTGTTCTCTATGTGTGATGCTTTGCACGGTGTACTGTGTTGTATGTGCTCTCTATGTGTGATGCTTTGCACGGTGTACTGTGTTGTATGTGCTCTCTATGTGTGATGCTTTGCACGGTGTACTCTATCTAGTCTTCGGTTCAGCGAGTGACACTCATTGAATCCTTTGTTGGAGTTGCTCAAATCAGAAGTTACGAGCTCTCCTGTTTTTTGTTTCTTCTGTAATTTACGTGTGTGTGTGTGTGTGTGTGTGTGTGTGTGTGTGTGTGTGTGTGTGTGTGTGTGTGTGTGTGTGTGTGTGTGTGTGTGAGAATGCATGCGGTTGTGTATATGTGTTCTCCTGCGTGTGTGTGTGTGTGTGTGTGTGTGTGTGTGTGTGTGCGTGTGTGTGTGTGTGCGTCTGTGTGTGTGTGCGTCTGTGTGTGTGCGTCTGTGTGTTTAGGTGACGGGCAAGAAGCACAGACTGAGATCCGTGCTAATTGATCGCGTGGAGTTACAGCACCTGGTATGTTCATTAGATTACTGTAGAGGCAGAAAATTTCGTCGGTCAATAATTTCGTCCAACTCCAAAGAAAAGGAGTTCGTCCGGTTGAAATTTTCGTCCATGGATCATAAGAGTGTATAGAAACGCTGGACAAATCGATATTCGTCCTACATTAAATTTAGTCCAAAAGCTCCTTGGACGAAAAAGACGAAATTAAATTCCAGACGAATATTTCTGCTTATACAGTATCTTCTCAGATGTCAATGCCCTGTCTGGCAGAGACGCTTGACAATCTCAAGAACCAAAATATATGTAGATTGGGCTGTGTTGATAGAAGCCATCATTATATATCAATGGATCTGCCCATTGAGCCGTGCAATATATCTTGGAGTCTATGTGTGCGCTTGTGTTGAGACAGTGGAATTTTTGCTGTTGCCAGAGTACAATTCTTAAGGAATAGAGATTATGGATGTCCTGTTGTCTGCCTTGATACTGAGAAGGAGTAGAATAATGTAGTGCTACAGCCCATGTGGCTTATCTGCCTGTGCAGTATTGTTAGTATGGTACAATGGTGCTATTCATTCCTGACTGGTGCCAACGCCATGAATACTAAGTAGTACAGCCTGGGCTGGTGTGGCACCGGCACTGCCGACGACGCTGGCTTGTTCACTGATCGCAGTTCTGCTTTACTCAAGAGGGTTTCGCTCAGCACAACTGGCCATGCGTACAGTACTGTCGGTTGCCGAAGAACTGGGGGGTCAGCCTCCTAGCCTAGACCGCTCTTGTTTTCATGTATTACAGTCTGTGCGCAGTTGAGTCTACATTGGTATGGTGCGCTTGATGAAATTCTAGCCTGGTCGTTCTTCGGCACCCCGCAGTTCTGTAGTGCAGTCGATTCCGCTTATAACGAACTCGCATAGAACAAATTCAGTGATATAGAAAACCATTGTTCATGTCTCTGTTTGAGCCCATACAAAATAGACCCTTTCTAGCGAACTTTTTTTCTCCTTTATGACAAACCATATCTTGCATGGTTGTATGGTCTGAATGCATTTCTTCTCTGTTATAAAGAACTTTGGCTATAAAGAACTGTTTCTTCTTCACAGTGGTGTTTGTTATAACAGGAGTCGGCTGTACATGTCGGCTGTACATGTCAGCTGTACATGTCAGCTGTACATGTCAGCTGTACATGTCAGCTGTACATGTCAGCTGTACATGTCAGCTGTACATGTCAGCTGTACATGTCAGCTGTACATGTAGGCTGTACGTGTGTGCTGCTTGACATGTAGTAACAGTTGCTACTACTGGACAGTAATGTACCTGTTACTACAGTATAGCTCTAACAATAGAGAGGTTCCGCATAACGTACTTACAGCAGTAAAAAAACGTAGTCGATCTACGGAAAGCCTTACGTACACTGCATGCCGATCTGTGTTCCGCCATACGTAGTTTTCGAATCACGTAGCTGCCCGTGGCAACTCGGAACGCGGCAGTGTACGACCGGGTCGGCCTGGGGAGTGAGTCATAAATTTGTACCCCAATCCACTTACGGAGCACCTCCCTTATCAGAGCCCTGTCTACGTACTCTACGTAGACAACTTTCCGTAAGTGGAGTGCAAACTCGCGAATTCGCGGGTTTTCCCCCACCCACTAACGTAAAGTTGAGCAACTTTACGTAGTGCGGAACCTCTCTACTATGCAGCAATGTGTGCATTGTGAAATAGGTACTTTGTAACGTTGACCATGCTTCCTGTGCACACTTGTGTGTTTATGTGCATGTGGGGTTTGTTTCAGAAACGCATGGTGAGCCGGTATAGCATGCCCCTAACGGTAGCGCATGTTGCCATACTTGATCAGCTTCTCAAGCTATCCCTCAGCAGATACACTGTTGTAAGTAAAGTTATGTGTACGTGTGTACGTGTGTGTGTGGGGGGGGGGGGGGGGCATATTCTGTGCTCTATGGCTTGAGAAAGTCAGTAAACCCTCACTTGTCGAATTGTACGTGCTAATAATAGTGCCTATCGACACTGTGCAGGTTCTGTACAGAAGACAACTGATAGCACTGATAGCACTGATAGCTTTACAAGCCATTGCTAGTGACGTGGGTCTGTGTGCGTGTGTGACTGACAGAATAGGGATTGGGCTCAGTTACAGTGGTACGGATTTGGACATTGCTTGTATGGTGTGTTACGACTCCTCCCGGCAATGTCTATGGACATGTATGTATTGCTTGCTTTGGCCCAAAGTTGTTCACTGCGGTTCCATGTCTGTTGCATCCGCTTGCCATACAGCCATTTTCTCACCTCGTTTATCATTACTGCTGTGTTGGCAATGTACCTTTTGCCACAGGGCCCCCAACAAGCATTACACCAAGATCAATTTGCCACAGTTCACGCTGTTAGCACCCGGACACCATCAAAGTGACTGCAACAACTGCAGACAGCACACAGATAGCATGCCTGTGTGTTTGTGCACATCGCGTGACTGAGGTGCATTGTCGCTCTTCCTTGCTAGACCGTTACGGAGGTTGCTTGTTTCTTCTTACATGTGGAAATGTGCTTTGCGAGTTTAATATTGGACATAAATATAACATCAGTAGTACAGTGTGCTCTTGTACCCTTGCCTCTCTTCCCACTGCTGCCGTAAGCCTGTGTTGTTGTCTCATTTTCCTCTTGTCCTGTCTTTTTTTCTTTGCATGTGTGTGTGTGTGTGTGGTTTTGTGGGGGCGTGTGCGTGCGTGCGTGCGTGTGTGTGTGAGAGTGTGTGTGCGTGCGCGTGTGTGTGAGAGTGTGTGTGCGGTTTTGTGGGTGTGCGCGTTCGTGTGTGTGTGTGTTGTGTGTGTGGGTGTGCTGTAGGTGCGAATATCCGCACAGCAAGTATTGCCGGCACTCACCAGTCGCTTGTTTGGTTGTATTCGCTACTGCCTGCCCGGCGTTCTCGATTGTCTGAAGGAATCTGAGACGCTTACACACGAGCACCTGAAGGTATGACTAGGAATGAATCTGAGACGCTTACACACAGTGTGTAATCCATAGATAGACATTAGCAAGCCGGACCTGCTACTACTGTAGTGTCCTACTGTAGTGGGCTTCTGTTGTCTGCTTCTTCTGGTCTGCTAGGGCAGGGGCGTTTTTTGTCGTCCCTGAAAGGAACAGCGGTCATGTGTGTGTTTGTGTGGGTGTGGGTGGGTGGTGGGGGATGAGCCCACAGCGTACATTACAACTGTACTGTACATCTACATGTACATGCATGCAATTTTCGTCGTCCAGCATGGCAAGCTGAATTCATTTCAGAAGAGGGGGAGGGGAACCGAGTACGAAATGAACGATGTTCGTTTCAGGGACGACAAAAAAACCTTTGCGACGACCCCCAAGTTACTGCGGTGTGCTTGATCTCCGCAACCTGCACACCTTTAATCCGTAGTGAGACATGGAGATGTTACTTTGCTCTCAAGCTCCGCAACACTCACCAAGTAGATGGGTAACTAAAAACTTGTGTACATGTATTTTCCTGGTTTGCAAGTTGCCTTGCAAGCACTTTCATTGGGGAAATCACTTGCGTGTGGTCTATGGCACGTGCTTCTTTGAAGTCCGGAAAAAGGGCAGCATAGATAATTTACTGAACGAAGTCAAGAACGGCAGTACATGTACAAGTATTGCTGTGCTGTTGACGACAGTGCATGTTCTTCTGTATTGGGTAATAGTGATACTGTCGTATTTGTACTTGTAGCCATCACCTCAGCAGCATGATTGCTTGCATTGTTATTACTGTTGACTACTGGTGTGTGTCCGTTGTTGCTGTTGCTATTGCTGCTGCTGCTGCTGTTGTTTTTGTTGCTGTTGTTTTTGTCTGTTGCTGTAGGGTGCTCTGTTTGTGATGCTCATGGAACCGTTTCTACGCTACATGTCTGGCCGCTACAATGACATGCTCATGATCTTACCACCCCTGCTTCAAGTATGTTACTAGGCTAGACACCCACCAAGCACACTGTGCACACTGTGCTCACCCAGCACACCCAGCACATTACATACACATTACATACACATTACATACACATTACATGCACCACAGACTTCTTCACCTTCTAATGAGAGTCTAGCCGTATGGTTAGACGAGAAGGCAGACATGTCGCTGTGTATCTGGTCAAATAAAATAAAATAAAAAACAAACAAACAGACGCACACTTTGCATCGTGATAATGTACAGTGTCCTTTGCTTGTGATATGTAGCAGTTACCTCTATGTTGCCTGATTGCTGATTGCTGCTAGAAATGGTGTTGATTGAATCTTGACCTCCCATGCACTGAATGTGACGATGCCTGCTTTGTGTATGGGTGCATGTGCGTGTATGTGTCCGCGTCCGTGTGTGTGTGTGGGGGGGGGGGGGGTGTGCGTGCGTGTGCATATGTTTATCTGTAGGCCGATCATTCTGACAAACCTTCAATTGTTAGCCTTGTTAAGCTTATCATTAGGGAGCTCTTGGTGCAAGGAAACTATCCCAGCCTCAACGAGTCGGTAGGTGATTGCATTGCATAGACAGCTCTTGTATAAACGTACATGTAATGCCTTTTTCAATATGTCGAGTCTGCTTTATGATCTTTGACATTTTTCTTTGCCACATTGCTCGGATATTGTTATTGCAAGCTTCTTGTCTAGTTCTAAGCTGTTAGACAGGAAACACGTGCAATAATTATGTGCTCGTTCACAGTATGTTGACTCAATGAAAATGTTCGTTCTTCTGAAAAAGGTGACGTCAACAAAAAAAAGCCTTGTTAAGCTTATCATTAGGGAGCTCTTGGTGCAAGGAAACTATCCCAGCCTCAACGAGTCGGTAGGTGATTGCATTGCATAGACAGCTCTTGTATAAACGTACATGTAATGCCTTTTTCAATATGTCGAGTCTGCTTTATGATCTTTGACATTTTTCTTTGCCACATTGCTCGGATATTGTTATTGCAAGCTTCTTGTCTAGTTCTAAGCTGTTAGACAGGAAACACGTGCAATAATTATGTGCTCGTTCACAGTATGTTGACTCAATGAAAATGTTCGTTCTTCTGAAAAAGGTGACGTCAACAAAAAATTCCGCCATGGGCGGGGTATCTGCAGATTATGCAGGAGAGATCCGGAGTTGCACACTCTTGTTTATCTACTCTTGGTTATACTGTAAGGTGAGAAACTTTTGCTAGAGATTTAATGTCGCTATTTTCTCGTCCACCGCACAGTCGCAAGTTTAAATCGCCACAAACTGCTCTTTACATTGATTGTCGACAGTACAAGATCCAACTGAAGAGATAAAATCGCAAGAGTTCCTCATCGTGAATCAGTCCAATTCATGAAAACGCCGCAAAAGTTTATCGCTTTACAGTATGTGACAGTTCGTGCTTTTTCTGTCTGTGTATATACTGGTCACTGCAGATGAGTGATGCGTGTGTGGAATCAGCGTGTCAACTAGCAGAAGTGGCTGGGGTGTCAGGAGTTCAAGACATGATATCTGCCGGCCGACTCAATGAACAACGCACGTCGGAAGCTAATGTTGAGTAAGTCCTGCTGCACCATGCCCCAGCAGCCGGCCAGGAGACTACCCAATCTGGGATTGGAAATCTCACTTAAGTGTGGGATGCAAATGCAGCAAAGGAGAGAAGATTTGCACTGCCTTGCTATGTCGATAGAACTGCTGGTGTGGGCTACAGTGATGTCTGGTGCAGAAGATTGGGGGGGGGGGGGGGGATCAATCGTAGCAAGCGAGCATGCCTCGTAATATCCTAGCGTGTGCGTGCATGTGTGTGTGTGTGTCACTGTGTGTGTGCGTGCGCGCGTGTGTGTGCGTGCGCGCGTGTGTGTGCGTGCGCGCGTGTGTGTGCGTGTGTGTGCATGTCCTTTGTGTGTGTGCGTGTGTGTGCATGTTCTTTGTGTGTGTGTGTGTGTGCGCACGCGCGCGCGCGCGTGTGTGTGTGTGTGCGTGTATATTTCTTGACCGATCCTGTTCCCCTTGTTTCTTTCTACTTATGATGTTGTCACCGTTGTTGTTGTCGTCGTTTATCGTTGTTGTTGTCGTCGTTGTTGAATTCTTTATTCTCACGGTGACTCCATTGCCAATAAGTTGTGCCGTTATTGTTGTTGTTGTTTTTGTTGTTTTTGTTGTTTGTTGTTGTTGTTGTTGTTGTTGTTGTTGTTGTTGTTGTTGCTCAGGGCCTACAATGGTCTTTTGACATCCTTGGTGCAGATCTTGTGTGATGAGAAAGTGTAAGTACACGTACAGTGGTGAACAATGATAAACAAGCTACTGCTTCTGTGTCCACTGCTCTCCTGTCCTCATTGTCCACTGTTCTCCTGTCCTCATTGTCCACGGTTCTCCTGTCCTCATTGTACTTTGCTCTCCTGTCCTCATTGTCCATTGCTCTCCTGTCCTCATTGTCAATTGCTCTCCTGTCCTCATTGTCCGCTGTTCTCCTGTCCTCATTATCCACTGTTCTCCTGTCCTGTCCTCATTGTCCACTGTTCTCCTGTCCTCATTGTCCACTGTTCTCCTGTCTTCATTGTCCATTGTTCTCATGTCCTCATTGTCCACTGCTCTCCTGTCCTCATTGTCAGTGTTACTGTGTTGCCCACATTCTTCACCATCTCTACACCTGTGTGCTGTTACTGACTTTGAATTTATTGTTATTTTGTGTGTATGAATTGTGTGTGTGTGCGTGCGTGCATGCGTGCGTGTGTGCGATGTACAATGTATGTTTTGCACACTACAGGCGTCTTAGTCATCTTCAGTTCTGTGGTGGTGTGCTGAGTGCACTAATCCGCCATGACTATCCACTGCCAGCTCCAGCTATCAAGGTCTACCTCAAGGGTCTGGTGCATGATGTGCTGCTGTATCGGCGGGTAAGTACTATGTGCATGTACACTGAATATTGCTATGGTCCTTTTCATACTGTCAAGAGTCCATAAACAAGAGTATGCAACTGTGATCTCTTTTCTACGGGCCAGATGCGCGGTGCGCTGCCTTCATTACATCACTCAGCTGCAGTCCGCGCACTGCAGAAAATCACACACTTTCACTCTGGTTTGAAATGAACTTTCGTACGGAACTGGAGTTCACGCGCCAACATTTTGAGATTGCGTAGGTATTGGAACGAATCGAGCAAAAACGGATGTGCTGGTAAGAGAAATTGTGGGTTTGAGTGCATGTTTTCAGGGCGTGATGGAGGCAAGTTACGTTATGAAGGCAGCGCGCCGCGCACTGACCCATAACCACAGTTGCATACTCTTGTTTATGCACTCTTGTCATTATGTTACGTTTTCAGATCTCTTCTGCTGCTGCATCCACCTTCTCATTGTTTTGTTTTTTCATGTGCAAACCGTTTGTTTTTTGTATTTTGATGCAAGTGTGTTCATACTTGAATCTTACTTGACGTGTTTATTTTCATTCTCGGCTGATCACTTGTGTACATGTGTATGTATGTTTGTCTGTGTGTGTTCAGCTATCCTGGGGTACAATGTCCATTGTTCTCAGGCAACTTCGTTTCCCAACGGACAAGATTGTTTACACCGCAGCTGAGCTAGGTAACATCTTTCACACTTGCACCCCCCCCCCCCCCCCACATGCACACAAAGACATGTGTCGGCTGTGTGTGCACATATGCCCCACTTGCATCAATGCTAAGGTTCACTCAGTTGCCGATCTGCTCTCAAAACCGTGCACGTGCTCGCATGGCTGCCATTAGCGGGACCATGGTGTTCTAATGTGCCACATTGATTGGCTAACCTATTTGATTGGCTTATCGTTGTTATCTTCAGTGAATGGGTGCAAGCAGAAAGACAAATCTGCAATGTCTGAGCAGATTGACAACACTTCCAAGACGTTTCCCGGTGGCCTTCGCAAAGACAACCACTGGTATGTGTCTTGGTTTCCTATGTTGTTGGATGGTACTTTTCCTTTTTGTGTTTTTGTACAACAGTGCTTTACCACCATCCATTTCAAAATAGTATGCAACCTT